CAGGGGGAGGAGGCAACCAAGCTATTGAAAAGTACCTAAATTACTGGAAGAGGTTGAGGAGAAGGGAAATACCCAGATGGCTCTGGCTCCTGCCAACTGCATGGGTTCGCAGGGCTCTCAAGGTGCCATCGAGACAGAAGGATGTCAAGGCATACGCCAAAACCAAGGGGATCTCAACCCTCTGGATATGCACTGATACCATGGTCCTGCTGCCCCTCTCATTGACTAAGTAAGCCAAGACCCATCCTGGCACTTGCTTGCCCACACTTCTTCTATAAAAGGTCAGAGGAACAAGTTAAAACAACAGCATGAACCACAAGACTGATTCAAAGTTATCAGCAGAAAAATCAGAGATGTGAAACAATCTACCATGAAGAAAATTCTAGAAACTGCTTTCTGTAAATTGGACATTTAGTGGTATGCATGTATGAATGTCTTGTGGGTGCATTTGAAGTTCTCTTGTAGAGCAGATACACCCCAAGACCAAATGATACCATAATGCCTGAGTAATGTGCTGTATTTAGTAATATTTTCTCAGAAAGTTATTCTTTTCCCACAATGTGGAATAGAAAAACAAGTAGATTCTGGCTAGTGTCTATGGAATATAACATTTGGACATTCATGTATTAAAATTGCTGGAATCTTTGAAATATAAGGTCAATATCAGAATCCTCAAATTTTCACTTTATTGGTTGAAGTTTCTTTTTGCAATGTAAATCTATTCCTTCCCCATCCTCTTCTAACCCATGCATTTCAGTTCACTGTAAGACACCTTCAATCACTGTGAGGCTTGACATATAGGGGCTTTTTTCTTAACTGCTTTATAAAATGTTATTTGAGAGACAAAGAGGAGAGCTCCCACCCACTGGCTTCTCTCCCAAATGCCAACAACAGCAGGACTATGCATAACCTATAGTTAGAAGCTAGGATCTCTACTTAGATCTGTTAAAAGGGGGATAGGGACCAAAAATACCTGAACTATATTGTGCTGCCTCTTAGAATATGCATTAACAAGAAAAAGGAACTGGGAGTCAGGAGTGAAAGAAAAACACGCTGAAATGAGACATTGCCATCTTTCTTAACTACTAAGCCAAATGCTTGTTCCTTAAATTTAAAGAAAAAAAATCCTTGCTATTGTCCTTCCAGAGTCAGGCAGCAGGTTGCACTGAAGAGAATTCTACCAGGGGTTCAAACAATAAGGTTTTAGTACAGAGTATTGTTGATACAAATAGACTTTTAGGTTAATTATGAAGGGGCTCCATTTTCTCAAATATTAAGTAGAGGATTAGACTAAACTGCTTCTTAAGATCTTCTTTCCTTATTTAATATCACTATCATTTTAGACGCTGTCATTACAACTGTTTTGAGTATTGTAGTCATTGCAATAATCTTTTCAAAGAATCAGAACCATCATATCTTTAAGAAACCTTCAGCTTTATCCCCAAACACAGTGCTGTGTAAAACATATCAACTTGATGTAATAAACGTGTTCAGAGAATTGTGACCAAACATGGATTTCAAACTGCTTTACATGAAAATAAATGGGAGGGCAAGCATGTGGCACATTAAAGATGCCACTTGGAATACCCACATCCCAAGCCAGAGTGTCTTACCACTGAACCATAGCCTCTTCTCTCTCAGCACATGCACTAGTGAAACACCAGGATCAGAAACCTAGCTAGGGTCTAAGTGCAGGCTGCCAATATGGAACGTGGGTCTCTTAGGCAGGATGTTAACAGCTATGTCAAATGCCCACTCTGAGTTGAAATTATTAATGAACTCAGTCTTCACGAGGACAAGAAATCAAGACAAATAGCCTGGTACTTAGTATAGAGAGGATTACAGCAACACAATGCTATGTGAAGTGTTTAGTCAGGTCAGCCCTCTCAGGAACCTTAACCCCATTCATGGTGAACCCTAGCTAGACTATATTAAAACTATATGGAGCACAATGGAATTTAAGAAGGAAGAAATGCAAGTCTAGATTTTGGCATGATGTACAAACTAGACCTAGATCTTGGGCATCCATTAGCCCACTAGCACATCTTCCAGTCACTTCTTTCCCATGTTCTCTCTCTAAGAGGTTAGATAAACCATACGGAGTAAGTGAGGGGAAATTACAGTCACCTCAATCTATAGTCTCACACCAGTTTCCTGGTTCTGTTATTCTGGTTTCATATTCCTGAATCCATCCCAATGGCTGTTTGTTTAGTTCATGTCCTGTTCAGGACTCTTGTAAACCAAGGTAATTCTTTATTACCTGAGCTCTGGCATTGCTTCTTTTCAATATACTAATTAAACAAAATCCTAATTTGTGTTTTTCCATCCCCATCCCTCTCAAGAAAGTGGCCAAGCTCCTTGTTGTTAACACTCAAGGGCATTCAGGTATTGAATTGTACCATCAGCTTCATTTCTCTTTTTTAAAAAGTTTTTTTTTAATTTATTGTTTGAAAGACAGAGACAGAGGTGGGCAGAGAGAAAGAATCTTCCATCAGCTGGTTCATTCCCCAAAGGTTGTAAGTGTGAGGTTTAGTCCAGGTTGAAGCCAGGACTAAATATACCATCTAGGTTTTTTTCTGGATGGCAGTGGATCAAGTATGTAGACCACCTTCTAACTTCCCAGCAACACTAGCAGGAAGCCATAATGGAAGTAGAACATCTGGGACTCGAAGTGGTATTTCAATAAGAAATGCCAGCGTCCGAAAAGACAGCTTAACCCCCTGACTTACACACTCATTTCTTTTTTTTTTAAAAAATGAGCATATTTTATTTTTGATGATGTTTACATTGTTGAGAAGGATGCATGTCCACTTGGATCACTGATTATGCTGAGAAGGATTGAGGACTGGGGAAAAATAGATGAGACAATTGCTTCAGACTTGTTTCTTCTTGTATCTGGGAGCAAGGGGAGAGCAGGGAAGAGGGCTGCTCTAGGCAGCCTAACTACGTCAGTACCTGGGGATGGGGGATTGCCATCTGATAATCACCCCAGGGTCCCAATGTAGAACATGTTCCAATGGTACTGCTGAAGTGGTTTCAACAGTTCTGAGGTGATGCTAATTTTGTTGCTCCAAGGTTGAAGAAATCCTTCCAAGGTCCATTGTCTGACATAATCACCTTAGAGTCTCTACTCACCCAGATACTTGCTGTTAAAGCTTGGCCAGGCACAGACTCATTTTTAAAAACATATCTCTGGTGAAGAGCCCTTTGCCATAGCCATTGTGAGTATCCAGCAGCAACTTCTTGGATTTGATGTATATTTTTCTTTGTTCAAGCTTCACCTTTGCCTGGGACACCCTTGCTGTTTGTCTGTCTTCATGGAGAACTTCTATACATCCTTCCAAACGGGTTCTCTTACAACTAACAAATGCATCAAGGCAACACATAGGTTTGTTATTAGCTCCTTTTGAGATAGGATCTCCATTCTCTTCTCTTTCATTCTCTTACTACTCTCCTTGACCTTTCTATTCTTTGGCTTGATGACACCTCTGAGCTTTTCCTCCAGCTTCAGTCTGTGTTGGGGCCCAAAGAAATAGAGCAAGACTCCAAGGTGAGGGAAATGTCTTTATTCTTCAGTCAGGTGGCCACTTCTTGCCATGAGCAAAGAAATAGCCCGAACAAAATGAGTGGGGTTTTGTTTGTTTGTTTGTTTGTTTTTTAGTAAGTATCTACATGACAGTGGTCATCTATGTGATGGTGGGTGTCTACGTGACATAAAGCAGAAAGCAGTTAGTGAAGATGAGCAATGTATAAGCACAGGTTTCTGACCTTATCACCTCAATGCAAAGAGTAGTATACAAAATGCTGTCTGTCCCAGAAGTCTTTAACACTCCCAGGAATTGCCTATCTCCTATTTGCTTCTTGGTATTTCAGGAAGCAGAGTGTTCTTGTCACAGGGTGCAGGCTAATCTCTGGAGGGTCCAGACTTCCAGGCAAATAGTCACTTTGACAATTAACACTTTCAAGCCTGTGCCTTGAGAGTCCTTCTCTGTCCCCAGTATTTCTCAGTGTTTTTAATGCATATGTTTGTTTGTTGTCTTTCCTAATTTAGACACCCCTCACTATAACATATGCTTTTCATTAGAAGGGAACTTAACTACCCATTCACCGCTGTAACTGCTGTGACAGTGTAGGGCACATAGCAGAAATCAATAAATACTGGTGGAATGAGTGATTTTTATGTAGGGGTTGCATTTGGAGGAAAGAGAACACCTAGCAGTATTTTATGAGGATAGCTTTCCTGATGTGTCTGGAAAAAAAAAAAGGCAGACACATTAATCAACCTCCCCTTCTTTCCCGTGTGATTTATAATCATTATGTAAATGTTGTTATCCTTTTCTCTTTCATAACTGTTCTCTGCTTGTGTTTTTTTTAAAGATTTATTTTTATTATTTTTTTATTGGAAAGGCGGGTTTACAGAGAGGAGAGACAGAGAGGAGCCTCTTCCGGGTATCCCACGTGGGTGCAGGGTCCCAAAGCCTTGGGCCGTCCTCAACTGCTTTCCCAGACCACAGGCAGGGAGCTGGAAGGGAAGCGGGGCTGCCGGGATAGAACCAGCGCCCATATGGGATCCCGGGCGTGCAAGGTGAGGACCTTAACCACTTGCGCCACCGCGCTGGGCCCTGTTCTCTGCTTCTTAAACATTATTTAAGTACTGACCTTTTCAAGGTCTATTTAAGCATAAACGCTGGAACCTTTGTTTAGATTCAAATCCAAGTTCTGCCCATGTATGACCTTGGTCAAATAGTCCAATATCTTTGTTCTTCTGTTTCTACATTCACAAATTGATGCTTTTTCCGTGGAATTGTTGGGATGATCACAAGAACGTGTACAAAATGCTCAAACCAGCGCCTGCCATAGTAACTGCAACAAATGTGTACTGGTTGTTTTCTATTGTGTGGAGACAGGACACAGCTGTCCATTCAAACAACAGGAGCATTGAAGGGAGTTGACTGTGACAAAGAAAGTCTATTTAACAGAGAACTTCAAGCATCAGGACATTTTTTTCCAAGACTTAAAAACAACATAATTTATTAATTTTTCCAATTTGGATATCTGTAAAACCCACATACACAGTAAATTCAAAAGCAGCTTAATGTACCTCTATAATTTGTGCTGTTTGTTACATATTTTATTTCAAGATAGTTCAACAAAACTCATCTTACATTTTAATATTTTAAAATTAAGTTCATTTATCAAAATCTTGAGCATCTAAAAAGTTGTAAAAAAAAAAAAAAGAAAAAAACCACGAGTCAAGCCACCTATTCTGTGTTCTAAGATTCAGTAGGTCAATACAACTTCATTTGTCTATGAAGAATCGACTCTGTTCCTTTCTGGCTTTTTCAAGACTTTCAAAAGTAATCATTCCTCCTGGCAGTTGCAATTTGCTCTTGTCTGTTTCCAGTATGTCCTCTGCTTCACCTGAAATTAAGTATAGCAATAATGGAAAGTGACAAAAGGGTCATTGGAGGTGTTTTTTTTTTTTACCTGATTGCTATTTTGTTCCAGTGCCAGGCAATAACACTATATGGGGTTATGTCCCCAAATATCATAATTCAATATTTCAGCCATATTCCTTAAGAGAAGTAATGTACTTACTTAAATTGTATTTACATTTCTATAAAACATATAATTAATACAAATAATTTTTAATAGATTCTATACTACTATGATTATATAGCATCTATACTATGAGTAGTATAGCATTTATACAATTAAATATTTGCTTTATATCATTTAATTTTAAATAAATATTTATTTGGTCACCGGCTTACAAAATTTATGGAAATGTAACAAATGGTCAGTTCCTCTGAGCTAGTGTGTGAAGGAACCAAAAAGCTGGCCAGTGGAAGCTTGGTCACAGGGCCTTACTGAAATCGTCATAGGTTCAGGGGGTCCTTGAACAACAATAACAACAAAAATCAGAAAGTAGGAACTCGGATTTATCAAAGACTTACCTTTCATTCTTTGTAGAAGGGTTCCATACCCCAAGTCACACTGGTAGGCAAAGATAAAGCTTAATGGAACAATAGGGATGAGAAGGGCTGGCTTCTTTCGTTTTATTGCTCTGTTTCAAGAACAAAAAAGCAACCAATACATACACACATATATACACATACATATATTTGCAGAAAAATTGCCTATTTTTTTTTGGAAGAAAGTTCACCATTTCAGAAGTTATAAAGTTCATCTGTAACTTCTCGGGAACTAGAATTTTCTTATCCAGTATCCCTCATCTGATTGTACAGTTCTTAAGGTCAAGGTTTATGACTTGGTCATCTTTATTTTTGAGGCCCAGATTCATTTTTTAAAAGGTAAGGGGAGTGAACATTTAACTTAGTGATTGGTACACATATCCGATATCAAAGTGACTGAGTCCCAGTTCTGGTTCCTGGCTCCAGCTTCCTGCTTTTCAAACCCTGGGAGGCAGAAGTCATGACCTAACTCACTGGATTCTTGCTTCCTATGTGTTCTCATTTCCTGGTTCCAGCCCTGGCATTGCTCTATCGATCACAGGCATTTTTCTTCCTCTGTTTCTTCCTACCCTCCATTCTCAATGAGACAGAGAAAATGGCAGGAGAAATACATGAAACTATTTTAAGTATGACTACCCTGGTTCTACAGAGTAATCCCCAAAGACTGGCTGCAAGAGGTTGCTCTGTTTACATGTATACTACATGGACCAAATAGCCCACTTAATAATATGGTACTGGTAAAGATAAAATTAAGCAAATTCTTTAAGAAAACTGTATAAAGTCAATAGCAAACTTACCCAGCTGTTAGTGAGATGGTTGCAAGGCCAGAAAAAGTTCCAAAATACTTGAGGAACTCCCGAGACCAAGCAATCTGCATGGCCATTTGTCTCTCCCTCATTTCATTCTGTAACATTAGCTGCCTTTCCAGCTGAGGACAAAGCAAAAGATACAGTGTGGTTACTCACTTTTTGAAAATAACATAGAATTAGTCACTTTGCCAGTGGATTTTCCTTCTTCTGTTTCTTTCCTTCAGTTATTAAAATCCCAAGTTTTACTAAAGTCCCTCTGGACAGCTACTTCCAAAAATTCCTTGGCAGTGAAATCTTTCTGAACTACTATATGCAGAACATATACTGATAGTCAGTTTCAGTGTCTGGAAGTCTCGACTGTGTTTGATCTGTAGCTTCTATGCAAATATCACATGCATATGTAACTTTTTCTATTACGTGTGAGGGACGATCTAGGGGTCTTTAAACACAAAAACAGCTTATTGGACTTCATAAATTAACTACTTTCATGGAAATAATTTTGTCTTCCAGACCCATCCTACTGTGAATTGAAATTCATTTGAAGTACTTAGGTCTAAATCACAGCTTGATAGGGTGGTAGAGGGCTGTTACATGGAGACATCAATAGATTGTTCTTTACCATCTGTTACTTGCTCCACGTCCTTGAGCACTGGCCAGTGCTTTTCACTGCTTGAAACTTAAGGCAGGTAGAGCCCAGATCGCAGATGCAGAATGAGTACCTGAATGACCTCTTTTCTTTTTTTAAAGATTTATTTTTATTATTTTTTTTTTATTGGAAAGGCGGATATACAGAGAGGAGATACAGAGAGGAAGATCTTCCGTCCGATGATTCACTCCCCAAGTGAGCGCAACGGCCAATGCTATGCCGATCCGAAGCCAGGAGCCTCTTCCGGGTCTCCCACGCGGGTGCAGGGTCCCAAAGCTTTGGGCCGCCCTCGACTGCCTTCCCGGGCCACAGGCAGGGAGCTGGAAGGGAAGCGGGCTGCCGGGATTAGAACCCAGCGCCCATATGGGATCCCGGGCGTGCAAGGCGAGGACTTAACCACTTGCGCCACGGCGCCGGGCCCATGAATGACCTCTTTTCTAAACAAAGTGGAGAAGTCAAGCTCAACAGAAAAGTCAAGCTCAACTTTTGCAGAGTGATGCTCTTGAAGGAGAAGTGTTGTCTTGTGTTATGTTGTAGGTTTTGTTTGTGATTTTAGTTCTGAAATCATGCCCTGTAGATTGATAGCCAAAGCAGAAAGGAGAAAGTGGAGAACCCATAGTGCCAACCATTGGTTGGGGAGAAGTGGTAACATGACTCATTCTTCCCCCCGCCCCTGGCCCTGTTTCTGCTGAGAGGAGAGATAGGAAGAGGAGAATGGAAGCTTAAGATACAACCAGGGGGTTCAGTTCTTTGCTCCTCCTGGGGGTTGAAGAACTGGGGGATGTAAAGGACATCTCAGATGAATTTGGGAATCCTCTAACAGAGAGGATAGGTAGCCTGAACCCTTTGGGGAATTCTTGTGGCTATCACTTATGACAGAGCAGAAACAGTTGGAGATCAGATTTGGGCATAGAGCAAGTTCAAGGGGGCACTCTGATCACTCCAAGCTGCCAGGAAGTGTGGAAAAGCTTCCAAGGTTCTGATGTCACCTGGTGAGGAGTGCAGCAGTGAGAGCTAAGAGAAAGCAACCTGTCAGACAATCCCCAAGGTTTTGGGGCTCACAAAGGACCAGCCTATAAGAGGCCTTCCCAGGTTGATCCAACAAAAAATAATCACAAGAAGGCTTCTTTCAACCAGGTATAACTTCCCTGATGTTCATAACGAACAGAGGGGAAGGGGAGCAGACTAAATTCAACTATTTATCCTGAAAGAATGCTCTTAGAAGTAGAAATAATGAAATCTCTTATTTATCCAAATTATGGTTGCCTTCATCAGCAGAAATTGAGATTTAAGTCCTGTTAGTAACTAAAAAAATAAGTTGTGTTTTGCATAACTGATTAATGTGTGAAATGTATCCTTGCTACATTAGTCATAAAACTTAATATATAATTCATAATATTGCCCAAAGATATGAATGTGGCAATTAAGCATTTATGTTTTATCAAAAATAAGCTAGATCCTGATAAGACACAGCAGAGTCCAGGCCCAGTGGTTCAGAATCATGGCAGCATTCTGTGTGCATCTAGGAAGCTTCTCAATGTCTCAATGCTCAGACTTCCCTCTGCAGGCCAGGTAAACCAGGCGGGACTAATTAAACAGATTTGTGAAATAGAATCAGGCTTTCTGTTTTCATAAAAAACAGGTAATTTCAGTGTGAGAACCACCACCTGAAAGGAAATAACTCACAACCTTGGTTCGACTCCAAACAGATCTCCTGGGGATTCTTCAAAGACTTGGGATTTTTTTATATTAAATGAGAATTTTTTATTTGCTGTGTCTTTGTTAAGGCAATATAGACATGACAATACCTCGGAACCAAATCAAAATCAGTATTTTAGATAAGAAAAAAAAACTTAGACTAATGTTTAAAATAATACAACTATCGGGAAAGCTGTGAGCATTTTTGTTTCAATTTGTTCTACAGACATTTTATTTACTTGAGAGAGAGCCACACACAGAGAGCTTCCATATGTGGGTTCACTTCCGAATGTCCATAATGACCAGGACTTGGCTGGGCTAATGTCAGTGGCCAAAAACTCAATTTTGGTCTCCCACATTGGCAGAAGAGCCCCAACTTCCTGAGGCATTAACATTGACCTCCAGACCTGCTGAAATCAGGAGCCAGGAGCCAGAGCCGGCCATCACACAGAGCTGCTTCAGTAGGGAACATGTGTATCTTAACTGCTAGCTTAAATACCATGCCCTCTATAAATATTTTATATACTTAATGTCTAGTAAATATTTTAGGAAGAATCAGGATAAGGAAATAAGTAGAAATCGGAGCTTTTTTAAAGAAAAAAGTGAAGGGGCATTTTAATCCAATCACTACTAAAAATAATTAAATATAAGCAGTTTTGCATTATTCAGACTTTAGAAGAATTAGTGACAACATCTTGTTATGTACCTTCCAACAAAGATTACAACATAATTACATCATTCTTACTTTGAGATCAAAAGTCTTATTATAAGCAAAAGTGTTACCATACACAAAGATAAAATTAGCAGTTTAGCCAAAAAAAAAACTTTATATTAAGTTATAGATAAAAACATAAATGGACTTTCTCCAGCAGTATCAGAAGAGAACAGTAAGTTAAGCAGATAACAGAACCTGGAAATGAAAACCAAAAGACCATGAACTTCTCAATTATCTAAATTCTTTAAAGCCGCAGCTCTTAACAGAGTCTGACCCGTTACAAGAACTGTTAAGTGAAGTTGAAGAGAATTTCAGAACTTAAATAAAAATCATAAGGGCTTCTTCAGTTAGTAAATAAAGAAAGACTGATTTACTGATTGAAAGACAGAGTCAGGATGGGGGTAGTGGGGAGGAGACACGGAGAGAGAGTTCTTCCATCTGCTGGTTCACTTCCCAGATGGCCACAAAGGCCTGAGCCAAGAGCCAGGAACTTCTTCAAGATTTCCCACTTGGGTGGCAAGGACACCCTCCACTGCCCTTCCCAGGCCATAAACAGGGAGCTGAAATAGAAGTGGAACAGCCAGGACTCAAACCAGTGCCCACTGGTAGCAGCACTACAGACACTGGCTTAACTCACTGTGCCACAGTGCTACTACCCCTGGGTTTCCTTGCTCTGTAAAGGACATATTTCTTAGTTTGATCATCTTTCACTGTGTCAGTCCTTACAGTACAGAAAGAGGTCTGTCCTGCAGTCCTCAAATCTAAGAATCGTAGAACAAAGGTAGGTTTCAAAAAAATAAAGTCAGAAACAAACAATGGTATATTTGTTTCTGTTTGACTTTGCTAGTTGATGCAATAACAAAAATAACATGGCTGACTATGTGCTAAATACCATGCTGAAGATATAAATTGCCTTCCCCCTCTAAACCTGGGACTTGGGCCACATTCCACGGCTTTACTAGGAGCAATAGCAGGGATCCAGACCAGAAATGGAATAGACAGGACTCAAATTACTGTTCATATAAGATGCTGTCATTGCAGGTGTCATACACCATATCAGTCCCTTCCTCCTGCTTAGCATCTTCATCATCATCATTGTTCCTATTTAGCTGTGGACAAATCAATCAGCTTGTTAAATGGAAGAAACAGTATAGCAGAGGATAAAATATGCTACTGTTTATCATTCAAGCACATTCACATTTCTATGCATCAACTATTCTTATTAAAATGTGTCTGGCTTTATATGCTGTCTTTGAAAGAGTGTTTAAGAAACTCATTTGAGGAGGTGACTCATATCTGTTGGCACGGGAATAGAAGGAAACTTTCACTGTATATTCCTTTGTGCTTTTTCAAAAGTGTGATTCGTGTACACAGAATTGATATTTTAAAAATTGTAATTGTCTTATAAACAAAGAAATAAGAATCTGTCTGTCCCCAGGTGGCCTAGGAAGTTAGCTATCTGGGGAGCAGATAAGCAGCTAATGGAATATTCACACAATCAAATAGCCTACAGCTTTGACAATGATGTGTTATGAAAGCTATGCACAGTACTAAATACAGTGCCATGTGCAAAAATCATAATATAAATTTTCACAGATAATATGATACCAATTGGGAATACTTTTAAAAAAAAAGTAATACAAAATGACTAGAAGAAATGTCAGCTATGGCTGTAATGGCATAGTGGCAGCGTGGTAATCTTTTCCTTTTGTGTACACATATATCATATGCATTGCCTTGAGTCACTCATTACTTTTCTGTTTAAAAACTGTTAAAAGGAAAAATACAAGTAGAGACTCGTGGGTAGTAATATGCAGACTTCTCCCTCTTTTTTTTTCTACTTCGGAATCATCAACATAAAAAATAAACTATCGGCTCATCCACTCTGAAAGGACATTCCCATGTTAGCCAATGTTGTCCAGCCCATAAAACTCACAAGCTACAGTGACAATCTATTCAAGTTATATATGTTAAGCAACCTAATTCTTCAACATACACATGAACAGGCAATAGAGGGCTATCAGACAGTTGAAGGAAAACAAGAGCACACTAGGGAAGAA